GGCCGACATTAGTCCTGTGGGCGACCTGGTACTGGAGGCTCCTTACCAGCTGGAGGACAAGGAATAGTCTGGAGGGAGGTTCATGACGGGGTGGTCGGTAGAGGGTCAGTATGAAGCTGAGAAACCCAAGCAGAGCACCTAGGAGCTTCCCCCAGACGTATGAGGAAGTGTTAGAGGCACAGGAGGGAGGGGCGTGGAAGGAGGAGTGTGGAGGATGTGGAAGAACTAATCCAATGGAAAATTGGAACTTTACCTTGAAAACATTACCTTGAAGAAAAACCTTGTTGTTGCTATGTTGCGACTATCTTTATGAATATTTACATGAAACATATATAGAAAAGAATGTTAGCTATTTTTTGCATGTCGTTGGTGCATACCCAACAAAGTTTACACTAATTTATGAACAATATTTATTTTGTCTTGATGTTCTTGTACTAGCTTTATATTGTGTTATAACTGTTCACAGAATGCCCAAAACATAATATTATGTTCTTATATTAGTATGGGTCAATAAAATATATTAATAACGTTCCTGGTATCCTGGTTGTGCCTTGTGATAGGCTAGAGCACTTCTCACGTGCAGCTAGTTTCATACCATGCATAGTTAGAGCTATTTATGAACCAAGTCAAATTCGAGGAAAGACATTGGTTTAAGGAGATCTGTATAACTATACAAACAATGTTTCAGCATAACCTGTGTGGTTTGTCTGGGAACTCTGACATCAGCGAAGACTGTCTGTTTGGTTCTCCGTTTTTTCAGAGAATCTATAGAACCTGGCTCCTGAGGAGACAGCTCTTAGTTTACTTGTCAGGTCCGTCAGTGTTTGCGTTTGGCAGAATCTTGTTCCACTACACACTACCGTGGCTCTCACAACACACGATTAGTCTCTATGATCAGAACTATCCATTTGGAAGTTCATCGGAACCTCAACTACAATATTGGATTCGTTGAAAATAGATTCTAAATACGACTGGATGCAAGACATTTTAAACTTTAAAAAAACAACCTGTTGATGTTTTCCTTGCTACGCATTCTTTCCAAATTCTAATCATTTTGAACAAAAATATAGTTGCAAGCAAAGATGAGGGGTCCTTGGCTTTAGTTCTATCTATTGTATATGAGGGCTAGAAATCTTCGTCCAAAACGGAGCCAGAACACGTTTTTGACAGGCGAGCGGATCTTCCAAATACAGCCGGGATGGCGGGGTGATGTACCTTTTAAGAAGTTCCGGAGAAGAAATAGTTCCCTTTCAAAAGATTGTATCTCAGTTGTTCTTGGATCTACGGTCAAAACAATTAGTATTCTGGAATCACCATCTACCATACTGGCACATTGTGTGCAAACTACTCAGAAAACTGTTGAAAAACATGGCCAAAAACTGAAAACAAAAATAGCTGCCAAACGGTACGTTTTAGAGACTTTACCCGTCCAGGCAAAATTGTTGGGAATTCGATTGTGCATCTGTACAAGAGATTTGGAAGTGTTGGAATAATTAGTCCTTGAGATATATGCTGTCAAACTTTTGAATAATTTTGAATTATCTCCCCTTTGCTATTGGGCCTAGAGCCTAGAGATTTTTAAGGAGAATATCTACACCTCGGTGCGCATCTGTGTGATTTTTTGTAAGCGATTCGAAGCATTGGTTTAGGAGTTATGTTTGGTACAAAAATCGGCGGAATAATAAATCACCCGAACCCTCTGCTGCATTTTCATCTTTAATCTGTAAAATAATGATGATAATAATAATAATAAGGGCCTGATAATGTACGCCTCTCCGTGGTGGGCCTAGATGGGGAATTTTATTCCCTGAACTGAACGTACATCACCATGGCCAGTTAGGGCCGACCCCGCGAGGCTGGGAAATTACTGGGTTACAGGCAGACAAGGAGAAAACCAACTTTCAACTCCGCAGCCCAGTCAGCTTTCCTCCGGTAACGAAACCAATTATACTGGAGATGGTACTTGCTCCAGGGGAAGGCACAGAACCCGACCAAGAATATCTTGGTCAAACCATCTAAAATCCACACTACTTGAGTGTGCGAAAGCAACAGGATGGCCTGGTATTTACACATAAGCTTAAGCAGCATTGGGACAATGCCATGCCCATGTATGCTTTGCTGACGGAACAAAACCTCCAAGACCAACTCCGGCAGCTTAAGAAGAACATCCCCCTTGAGCCAGTTCAACCCACAACTGGTGCCCGCCACGAACCTTCGCATGAGCTGGGTCCCGTTGTACAAAACAACCTTTACTAAGGTTGAACTTAGCCACTAAGGTTAACCTTAAGGTAACCTTAACATAAAGTTATGCCCGTCGCACAAAGCTACCTTTGGTCAACCTTAACTCTGGAAGGATACTTAGCGGCAACCTTAGCTAAGGTTGAAATCTTTAGTGCCGGAGATACAATTATGTCCGTAGTTACGGTTGTGAGTTATCTCCCCTGCTTGCATCAGCAGACGACTAGTGTTATCAATACTTCGACATGGCAGAGGCGTCTACTAGCAGTGCACGAAAACGGAACAGGTTGTCAAACTATACATCGAGCGAGCTAACAATGCTGGCCGATGAGGTGAAGGGTCGAAGCCACATCTTGTTTGGATCATTCATCTATTACCAACCAAACTAAACTGAAGGAGTAGGATGCAATAGCTTCAAAGTAATGTCTTAATTTTGTCATCTTAGCAGATAGCATTGAATGTTTTGTAAACGCACGCTTGTCTATGTATCATTTATATTATGATGCTAAGTTCACAATCCCCCCTGGGCATTCTATTTGTATTTCTGCTGAAAAGATTTAATTTTGATTTTTTTTAATACACTGCAGGTTTGCTGAGACATACTTCTTGGAAATTAAAAGTGATACACAAATTAAATATAATGTTCATTGTATATATGAAATATATCATAACATTGTCACTCTGTTCCAGGATAAGTGCTTTCTCTTCAGAGGAAAGAACAGGGGCACAACTAAGAAAAAAATGGAATGCTTATAAGTAAGTGTCAATGAAAGTGTGTGTGTGTGTGTGTGTGTGTGTGTGTGTGTGTGTGTGTGTGTGTGTGTGTGTGTGTGTGTGTGTGTGTGTGTGTGCGTGCTTACATGTGCATGCCATTGTGGGTTGTGGTCAATTAAGTTCTGTTGTTTTGATGTATAACAACATTATTAAAGCAAAAAGGACAAACAATCACTAGTATATGAAAACATAACAATAAGCTTTTTATTTACAATGTGAATTGGATATGTCAGGAAATAACTAATTTTCACATGATTAATTTACAGATCTCGGGTAAAGAGAAAAGCCATGGATGTCAGAAAAGAATCATCCAAAACCGGAGGTGGTCCAGCTCCAGTACCTCTGACTGATCTGGAATTTAATAAAGTTTTAATTTCATTTTGATAAATGGTAATTCAGGGATACCAGGATATGAAGGTTATGAGAAAAGTGTTCTCTCATAACAACCACCACCACTCCGTGCAGGGTTACAACATTATATCCACATCTGTTGATTTATTTCTTCCAAGTACACACATATTTAAATATAAATATTTCTGTTTGTAGGTTGTATCACTGATTCCACAGTGCCAAATTGAAGGGATAACTGGTGGATTGGAGTCGGAAGTTGATGAAAATGAGTGTTTTTTTCTCAATCAATGTCAGAATATGTTCCAAATCGTTAAAACAATTTTTAAGCTGTTTGAATATTTTCAAATCATTTCCTCTGTTGCATTGTGTGTATTTTCAATAATTATTACTGATAGTCATATGAATATTAGCTTGGTCTGACATTACATAGATGCTATGTAATAAATAACATAAAGCTTTCAGTTTTTCAAACACTGAACATGGTCAGTGAGAGTGGCCTTCCCACAAAAGAGTACTTTGATTCGGCCTTCACCAGCGATGAGATGAAAAGCAACAAAACACCTGGTAAGCTTAATTAATATTTTTAAAGCATGTTTAAAAGTTAAATTTGTCATCAAGTCAGTTAGTCACAGCTTAACAATCTCATATATATGTCCTTACAATGTGTATTGACAGAACTTTAAGTCCTTTAATTCCTTGCAGGTCCTATATCAATGTATGGAACCATCAATGGTGATGAGGCTACCTCTATGGCTGAACCTGTGGAAACAGCAGAAGATCAGCCAAGTCATAATTCAACCTCAAATGGTAAAAAAATTGATAAATAACCAATTGGAGTGTTGTTTAAAATCTACTGTTTCTGGAGGATATTAATGTGATGTTACATAAGTCGTTTAATAGTTATATTAGGCATTTAACATTGATTTAAAACAGATAAGGACCTAAAGTTGAACGGGTGCAGGCAAAGAAAATCTGGTATGAAATTGTTTAATATGTTGCATGAAATGTTATTTAATCATGCCAAAAACTATTTTTTGCTATCCATATCATCATGGAATAAGAATTCTCAATAATAGCAATGTGTTTACAAATACTTTATAAGGCTTCTACAATTGATTTTTTTTTCACACTTTTTTTATCGGAATGAAATGTAGCATGTTGATCAATGAGCAAATAACATGGAAGTGCTGGTAATGTAATATACATTGAATTTTATAACATTTATTGCAGAAAACCCAAAGCACCAGCCTGAATATGTTGCCTCCATCATGGAAATGGAGACAACAAAAGCGGATGCCCTCAAAGAGCTGATTGAGGTGCAAAAGAGGATGTTAAGGATATCGGAAGACCATCTCACTTTAGAGCGAGAAAGACTTGATCTAGAGAAATCAAAATTTCAACTGCTACAACATATGCTGATTAATCCTGGCAACAAATTTCTCAATACTCTTTCCCCAGTTATCCAATTTATGAGTATGAGGTACATGACATTAATTTTGTTTCAAAATGTATGATATCAATAATTGGTATAGCATCGATTATACTTGGAAGCTACACAGAAATGGTATGCCTGTTTACTGCACTTCAAACGTATAACTACTACAACATATACAGTAAAATGACTGTGGTTAAATGGTTTACCCTGAATCACCAAGTAGCCAGCCATCAGGTGCAGTTTCTTCCATCTTTATGCCAACTTGACTGTTACTCCATATCAGGGTGTCATGAGTTGAACCAGGCCACTTGACCACCACGTTGGTAAAACTGAAATGGTGAACACGTTAAACTGATGACAGTGTATTTATTTCCAAGTTAATACTTTAACGCCGATATTCCTGCAACTTCTTCGTAACTTGCTGACCTGTCAAATCAGTCAAATCAACACCATGCACAAAATAATTAGGAGCAAAATGTTTGTTTAAACATAATTATTTTACTTAAACTAAATGAATTCTGGGACTATTCAGAAAATAATCCTGAAACGATTGCTGTATAAATGGGTACAATAAATTACAAATTTAACACAGACTGAAACTGCCGCTCGTTTCATTTGACAAGAAAGTAGTTTCGACTCATTTGTGGGTCAAGGCCGTTGCTAATGTAAACAGAGATGCGTAGTTTGCGGACCACTAACCAGTTCATCATTTTTCTTTCAGCATTAAGAGATAGTAATTGGTAGATATCGAAAACAAGTGTAACTAAAGTATCTTTATGGTAAATTTAGACGTAAATGTATGTCTAGTTTATATCTTACCGGAGAGAACTGTCGCATATCGCTTGCACATTGATTGCATGGTATCCCTTGCGGAATACGAAGGCGGCTTCCTCGTTTGGTGAAGGTCGTTTGATTGGAATAAGTGTTCCGTCCACAGCACCGAGAACTTTGGGGAAATGACCGACTCAGTAGAAATCTTGTTTAACCTTAGTTTGCTGTTCTAGACTCCAGGGAAAAGTAATATTGTCGAACACCGTACATATTGCATTCACCGTGCAATGGAAGCCCCAAGAAACACTTGATTTGTCCAGACCATGCAAATCTCCAATTTCAGAAAGAAATCCCCCTTTTCCCAGATATCTCAAAGTTAAGAGGACTTGTGATTCGACTGTCATAGCGTGGGAACGCTGTGTCGGTCTTTCGACTATTGGGCGAACTTTGTCCACGAGGCAGAAAATAGCTTCACGTGTGAGTCTATACCGGGATATAAGTTCCAAGTCTGTCAGAGTTTCTAGTTGGATGGTTCTGTCTCGGAAAACACGCTGTTTTCTCAAACTTTTTCCAGTTTCCTCATGCATCAACAAGAATGTAGCCATATTGAATTTACTCGAAATGTCAGCCTTAGCCACACTAAGGTTGGGTCGGACCAACTTTAAATTTTCACCTTAACTAAGGCTACCTTAGCGTAAGGTAGATTCGTACAACGGGACGTCAACCTAAGCAAAGGCCTAAGGTTAAAACTTAAGGAGATAAGGTAACCTTAGAGCTAAGGTTGTTTTGTACAACGGGACCCAGAATGCTCAAGTGGCAGCAGATCCAAAACTTCTGATGGACGTCTGCCTCAACCTCTCTCTTCTTCCCGAAATAAACCCTTCTGGCATAGAGCCAATTGGCCCCCGAAATTTCGCCTTCTCCTTCTTCTTCAGTTGCAGATCTTTCTAAGAACCCTGTTTATATTTTGCTTAACACTATTTATGAGGAAATTTGTGGTTTACCTTTGGAAAATCGGAGGCCAATTAAACAACTAAATGTTTCTTTTCCCAAAAAATGAACAAGACACCAAAGTAAAAACTTTCTGCGTAAAAAGTGAACTGGTTTCTGCTGCTCGAACTAAAACTTCACCAGTGTCTAAGGAAAAAACACCCAATGAACAAGACACCAAAGTAAAAACGGTTTCTAGTAAAACTTAATGAAACTAGAAGAAACATTTCCTGGATAGAGCTGTGCCTAAAAATAAGATCATCAGGGAATCCCATGTCTAAACGACAAAAGTCAATTTGGAGAAAATTAAAATTACAGTATAAGGCAACCAAAGAAAAATATTTCTCTGAATTGTCGATTCCCTAAAGGCAAAAATAAAGGTTTGGACTGAAAGAAAGAAAAAATGGGAAAAGAAAAAAATGAATTCATCAAACAAAATAAACTGTAACCTTTGACGACATTAGTAGTAAAATCCTTCATGGATGTAAATAGCGTAGTGACACACAGTGGTAATTAGGTCATGTCTGACAAGCTGCTACCGCGAACGTTCAGTGCTTGATAAAACATAGCTATCACCAGTGAATATGCCCCTTAAAGATGACTCAAATAGGGTGAACTTCAGAACCAGGTAACTGTCTACTTGCTAGCGAAGAGTTATCGCCATTTTTGCGGTTTTTAACGATTTGCTTCATTGTTTCTTAACATAATGAAACAATACTTATCTTAATGATAGATTATCTATTCACCGATGTTTCCTGCTTGTTTACAGTTGCCGATCGTGTTTTCTCCAACTTGGTAATTAACTATTGTGTTTCAAGCTTTGACATATTGAACAAATTTCATAATTGGAATTTGTTTTAAAAAAGAAATTTAAAAGAACAAAACTCGATCTCATTGTGAATGTTGACGAATGCTGATATAAGCTGATTCTAAGGGCGCTTTATTCGCTTCAGACAAACGAAGTGAACTGGGACCGTTAGTTATCTATGGCTAAGAGGGGTGATGATGATTATTATGGAGAAGCATGCAGCTAACACCCCCACCTCTTGCATGTCATGTACAAAATTTATTTAATGGTCCCCTTCCATAATGTTTAAGCATAATCTTTTAATATTAATTACTGCCCACGCCCACCCCCAAGTATACCTTTGTACAAAATTGATGTATCAACTACTCCTCACTGCTACAGGTTTGACACAAAATGACACTTTCCGAAGCTGGAATGCACCCGACATGGAACCATTCATCACATCTGTCGCTCGTGGTTCACTCTATCTCGCCCTCACTCGCATCCACAGGGTCTCTCAGTCCACACCTGTTACAAACTGTCACATGATCACTCTCGCCACTTTCATCATCACACACTTCTCGCATTCGTTCACTGCCATTACTCTGTTTTTCTCTCCTTCTTACAGATGCCTGCTCTGCAGCTCTCGTCGTTCCCTCATCTGTTCCAGTTTCTCTGATCTCATTCGTTATTTCACTCTCAACATTTCCTTCTTTCGTTCCGCTCGTTCATTTCTTTGTTTTTCTTACTCTTTCTTTCTTGTTCAGCGCCCGTTCTACATTCCTTCTTAAAATATCTTCCTTTCCTCTTTTTCTTTCATTTTCACTATCATTTCTCTCCACTCTTGCAATGTTGGCCGTGTTACTTTGCTTGGAACAGGGGCCTTTGGTGGGACAAGTATGACACTCAGATAAGGGGTATCGAACCTGAAGAAACAAGTGGGTTGGTTAAGAAATTCCCGCACGTTTTGCAGGACAAAACAGACGGAGATGGCAGATTATCGGAAGTTGAAGTCTGGGGTGGAGATGATTGAGTGGGGAATGGTTGAGCGACAAGTTGGGATTTGTCAATGGCATCAGGAGAGAACGGAAGGATTCCCGTTTTTCTGAACGACTCTTTAACCCTTGAAGGCGAACAAACCTGGTCATTTGAGTGGCTCAGAACAAACGGGAATCGAGCTTTCCCTATTACCATTTGGCTGTTGACAAATCCTAGCTAAGTTTGTGAACTGGGCCTTTGATGGACCAAAAATAGATACACCATGCGGCTGCAGTATGTTGGTAGTATAGCAATTCTATTTTGTTTCTCAGCTGCACACTCTATGAGTTCAAACTTGATATGACAGTCGACTCGTGGTTGTCGAGAACGAGGAGAACTGGTCTCTCACGTCCACACTTTGGAACGAACAACCAGTCGGCAGTGACGCCATCAGTGTAATTTCTATGTGGCAGTGATTTGGCGAAAATAAGCATAGTTGGCAATACCCTGCCACTGGCACATACAAAATATATGATACGAAGTCACCGTCTGTTGGTAGGAGTGAGTCCCTCGTTTGCAGGTCACTTTCTTCCTGACCATCTCCTCCCCACTAAACCCCGACTCATCAACATTAAAAATCTGGCTAGGTTTGTCTCTCAGTCCTAACTTGTCAAGCGTGGTCGCCAGCAATTCAAAATACTGACCCATAACGGAATCATTTGACATCCTAGTTCTGGAGTGATCTTGTCACTCTGGTCGTCGCTCGGCCTGAAGCTCAGGGTGACGAGATAAGAATGATCTAATCCATCTATCAGAGGGTCCATACTCGGAAAACAGTGTGGGCCTTTTGGAATTCGAAACAAATGATCGACTGATGGAACGAGTCAAAGAGAAACCTTGGTTGGACATATTATGTCAAATAGTTTACGAAGCTTGTTTCCTCCTCAACGGTTAGCATGGGTGAGGGACCGGGTCTACTACCCACCGGCTTGTCAAGTCGTCCCTTTACATGGTCGTCAATGTTGTCTTGCGTGGAACTAGGCCAGTAGAAAATCCCTGTTTTTTAGTTAACCTAGACATTTGCTATAACAAGCCAATTTGTTGACAGAAATGATTATCATGACCCTGTGTGTCTGTAATAAAACCCAACCAAAATCAACTTTGGGGAAATATGTAAATTTGTCATTAAAAATATTGTTACTTGAGCTCCGTGTGTATGTTTGACCTGTATGTAGTTGTCAGGCAACTAGTACCGTTTTCAGTCACAACAAAGATGTCAGCCCCCTAAGCTGGTTCCCGGCTCCCTTTGCGCGCGCAACGTTCGACAAAGCTTATAACGTCTAAGGGGAGGCAACCTATGATAAATTACAAATTGATCAAACTGTAATTGTTGAAATTCATATGATCATGATTAATGTAAAATGGTTCTTCTATTACCAGTATAAATATTGCACCCAATGTAGTTGCAATGCGTGTCCTCTGAAAATTGTATTGTTATTCATCAGTATTACTTATTGGGAGTCTATTATTACACTTTAACAGATCATGTCATAATAAATTTGAATTAGCTGCACATGAGGTGTTCGTTATTTATTTGGGTTTATTGTTTGCTGTAGTGTGAATCCTGTTATGTTAATCTGATAATATGTTCTCCCTAAAAAATGTTTCAGTTATTGTAGTACAGAATAAATACACCAGATCTACAATAAATCAGTTTCATGGTACAGTAACACAGTATTGACAATTGTTCCAAATATTCTGCATGCATCATAAGTCCATTCAGGTGAAATATTTTTTTTACCCTGCAATTCAGTCAAGAAAGAACTTGAAAAAGTCATCCAATTTTGTCTTGCACATTGTGTCCCACTCATGTTGATTAAAATAAATAGTTTCTAAATGATGATACTCCTCATGCCACACAAACAGGTCACACCATGTGAGGCCAGTCACAGCCAACTGCATCTGGATTTGGTAGTAGATGTTGTGGTTTGTTTTAAGTTGAAACTGACCATCAGACACATGCAAGTAGTCTAATCTTGATTTGGGATTAGTTGGACATTTAATTTCCAGTAGGCCATACGGTGGCGTTCGACTGGGATGGTAGAGTTTTCTGTCTGGTGATGCTCCAAGCCAGGAACAGAAAGGGCTGATAACAATACCACACCTGAACATATTCACTGTAGCATCTTGCATCTGGAAAGGCAAAACGAAACAGAATTATGATAAGTATTATTATCTTTCAACATGTTAAATTGGTGATATTTCAATATGTCAATTTAGAGAAAGAATTTGTGGGATTACAGAACTACATGTACTTTAAACTGCTAATTTTCAACAAGATATCCTGTCTTGATCACACCATGATACTTCATATTATGCATTGTCCTTCTTTTGATGAGACTTTTAAAATTTGGGTAATCATGGTAGAATATTTTTTATTCTCACGTCAGCATAGACTTGGGCTGCAGTGGGTTCACATGCAAGACCATGTCTCATTGGTGCTGTTGTGATCTTCTTTCCAGTCTTAAGGCTGGTGGCATAGTTCTCAAAACCTGAAAGTAAGAGGATATTTAGTAATGGAATAATTTTATAAGATCAGGATGATTTCTCTTTACATATTAGAAACTGTTTGATGGTAGTTCAAAACACATGTATATGAAAACATACTAAAACTCAACAAAATCAATTTTAAATTACCTCTTTTCTTCTTTATGATTGAACCAGCAACAGATGCAGTCAATCTGGATTGTCTGACCTTACGCCATTTTGGGTCAGATGATTGTGCCTGGGTGGATTTCTCAATCTCAATACTTTGTTCATAAGTCACAGAGAGAGCTTCTAAGTTGACCTTTTGTGAATCACTGAGATCTGATGGAATACTTGAGGGACCAATGCTGTTGTTGAGTGGGAGGTCAGGAAAGGATGTGTGGCTATCATCATTAATAATGGTTCCCTGAATAAGTTTCTGCTGATATGACAACACACATGCCAAACTTTGTCAATACTTCAGACTTTGAATCTGGTACAGCAACTGTCAGAAGTAACAAATCCGGCCTTACATCCCTTAGTGAATCAACTAAGTTCTGGATTGGTGGCAGTGGTGATTGCAAAGGATTGTAAAGGTTGGATTGAACACCTTTGGTGATACGAGTAGGGTTGTCAGTGTCGTACCCTTGAACAACAATATTATCTGACTGAGCTCCCTTGATTTTTTCTCCTCTTGGAAGATGCCAGGTTTGGGGAAGTGAAGTTTTGCAGACATCATCAGGGATGGCAGTGACACCAAGGGTCTTGTAGTTAGCTATCTGGTACATAACACCTGTGATGTGGCCACAGCTATGGCACTGACCAATGGCACAGGAACAGGTGGCAGTTTCTACAGTTAGTGGATCACAACTGAAATATATCTGGAAAACAAACAAAATAACTGTTACCATAAATTACATGATAAGTCATATTCTCTTTACTGTCATATTGAGTTTTTATTAGCACACAAAACCCTCATACCTCTTGGTCTAATCATGATAAACGTGACAAGGTATTGATGGGTACGATACATAACTATACACTACGCTATGTATGAAGGCCTATCCTTTATACATGTCTTCTAATAATAAGCAATTACATGTACCTCAACTTGATGCGGCGATTCATTTTTCCTCTGCGATCGGTAACACAATGCAGTGACGCGCACATCGCCATTACCAGTAGGTACAACTGAAAAATATGTAACTGTAACTATAAAACACATTCGATAGGAAGAAACATTTTCAGCAGAAAGAATACCAAACACATAATTTGATCACGCGAAAAATACAATTTTGTTTGATCTAGATCCACTCGAGGAGAGCTATCATGATCTGTATTACTTATGATCTCGATTATCCAGCTCAAAGAAAATAATAACGTTAACACTCCCAGGTGGAAGTGGATGATCTGAATCCAGGTCACGAAGCCTTTTGCATTTATAATATGTTGATAAAGTAAACGTGAATGACTTCCCTTGGTAATATTTCCACTACTGTGACATTAGAGTAGCTTCCCTTAATAACAGTTCCTGCTGCGCAACATGGTAAAGGTTGACGTAGATACCTACGTGAAGAACAGTCATTACTCACCCCTCAGTCCGTGGATATATGCCTCTGAAAAGTATTTGTAGCCCTTTCCCATTTGCGATTTTCCTGAACTACAGGAAAGTTTCTTTATTTACCGAAGGAAAAATTGAAATCAGGAAGTACATTAAGATTTTTCGCATTTGTCGCCATTATGCGAATGTGACCTTGCCTCATTTAGCCTCGTTTTGGTATAAATATGAATATTCATGAGGCCTCATTAAGAATGGTCTATAACCGATTTTTGAAAACGATACAAAATGTGTTTTCGACGTCTTCCGATGAAGGACAGCGCGGTCGTCTAAAAATAGCAACCAATGGAAAATGACATAACATTGTCAAGGTTGGCTTTTCGTAGGCCTTCTCAGCCATCGTCTCTTTGGCCTGTACCGGCTCGTATATTGCGATATGCGAGACGGGGCCCAGCTTATGTCAGCCCCCAGGTGCTACCTCACCACTCAAGGGCATTTAATGCCAATGTGATTTCCAAAGGAAATGTCTTCAACTGAAAGCTGCATTACAGGTAACTAACAAAATGATATTTTGAAATTTGTACTGTTTCAAATTCAGCGGTAGTAAAACACAATTACTGAATCTGCAAACCGTTCTGTTTAGCCCAACATATATTTTTTCTAACAGTGTAATATCGTTGAAAAAGTTATTTGGCTTAGTCATGATCCCTCTTATCCGTTACACTGCTTGATCTAAAGTAGTCTATAAAAGTATAATTAATTACCTTACCGTGTTTATGCCAGAGGTACACCCTCATGTCCTGGTCCATCCTTTCGGAAATATCACCACAAATCTGGCTCTTTGTCAACAGACTCGCGAACATGCCAGCGAATCCGATTCAATTTGAATTCACTACACTTTGAAGCCACTAGGTCACAAAACACTTTCCAAAATGTAGAAAATAATATCCGTAGAATCGAATTTGAGCACAAAGTACACACATGAGTGTGTAAGTCACCACAGCTGTCGCACGCAGACGTAGAGGTGCGTGAAATCGTCACGTTGACAGGGCGCAATTAAACTGTGTGGACACATTTATTATATTATATGCAGAAAATTTCGTCTTTAGGTATAACTCTAGCATGATAAAACTCAAGGGTTGTCCTATGTGCATTTAGACTACATATACATAGCATGATCTTGTTGATGCTATTTTAAAGTGAGAAACATAATACTTTGATCTGCTCACCAAATAACATCAAAATGATAGAAAAATAATGTATTATTATCAAAAATATGTTCACTACATCGTCTGCTAGAGGAAGCGTCATATACTACTTTCTCTTCAGAAATATACATAATTTTTCAAACAATTTAAATAAACAGTTTTAGATGTACATTAGCAGTATTCAAAGCCTTATTATTTTGTTGTTGTTGTAATTGATCCCTTTTATATTTATATAAAATGGGATTTAATTTTTAAATCATATTTTGTTCTGAACTAATGTAAAGTAAACATAGCAAATATCTGTAATGAATATTTAACAAAATCCTTCCAAAAAGTTTAATCTCACAGAAATCTCTGATTTTCAGCAGTTAGTTTTAGGCAGTAAAATTGAAAAATGAATAAAAGTACAATTTGAGTAGGGTGAGACCTTTCACAAATGCATTTATTTATTTTAACAGTATGTAGATATTCAAAAGTGAAGTTTTCTTTTGATATTTTATCTTCATTTTCTGAGGTATCTCATAATAAATAAATCAGAAGAAAGCTATTAAAAATATAAAAATATAACTGATGTATCATCAAAACATTTCATTCTTTATTCTTCTTTTTCAGAAAGCACAGCCACATCTTCTGTGATCTGTAACCAGGAGAAAGGTAATGTCAAGCTTTCACAAAGGGAATTTCATCTCTAATTGCTGCTTCGGGGAAGAGATGATTTACATGAAAGGTTATTGCAGGACAAACTATATTTTTGCATGAGAAATGTCGGAAAGGGTATACTGCTTCAAAAACGTCAAAATGCTGTTGGTAAAAAATGTGACTCATTCAACCTCACGTGACTATGAAACCCACTGCTTAATTTGTGCTGAGCAAATTGACTGATGGATTAAAACGCCACTCTGATAGATGTTCTGCGATAAGCTGTATTGAGATAGCAAGCTCAATTGAGAAAAAGAGCAAACTTCAAAAACAATACTTAAAACTTGCGAAAAGAGACTTGATGAACATGCATTGCAAATTAAGGCAAGAATCATTTGTGCAGGTGATCTCCCGGCTGTTGAAGCCAAGTATCACAGACACTGTATGCAGCAGTTTCTCACAGGCAGAGGTGGAGGAGAGTCCAGTACTAAAAATAATGACACAGTAAACTGCAATGCATTCCAGCTTTTATGTGACTGATTGTCAAGGAATCCTCAAAGTCAGTTCACAATATATGATCTGCAGGAGAAAATGAGTTTGTATCTTCCTGATGATGTTCAGCCTTACAGTGTCAAACATCTCAAGCGTCAACTTCTTTGAATATTATGGTGGAGATCTGACAATATCAGAAACAGATGGCAAAGCTAATGTTGTGACATTTGTGAAAAATGCATCATCTATCTTACAGGATTCATACAGTTTGGAAGATAATACCCTGGATGATGAGATCAAGCAGGCACAAAGATTGGGACATCATGTCAGGACTTCAATAGAAAACATCATCAGATGTGTTTTATCCATCCCCGCAAGACATAAACATAACTGAACTTGAAAAAGACATCCCTACAGTCCTGTTCAATTTTGTAAAAAGTATGATGGGAAAACCAAACTCAAATTCGGCTGCAGAAAAACAACACCTTGAAATTGTTTCACTTTGTCATGTGCTTATGCAAGCTTCAGCTCCAAAGCCTTATTTGTCACCCTTGCTTCTTTCTACTGGTCTTTTTGTTCATCAGACTACAAGGTCAAAGATCCTACTGAATGTCCTATCTGCTCTTGGACTCACCGTATCCTATGACCATGTTATGGATTTTGAAAAGTCAGCTGTTTCCAGTGAAACTATAGATGACCTTCCGGCTGGAATCTCCTCCATAGACAGGTGACGGATTTTGTCAATGGATTGCGGATAATTTTGACCATAATGTGGACACTCTCACAGGACAAGGATCAACACATGTCATGGGCGTCATTGCATGCCAAACCCACCTTCAGAGCACAGATTCGTAATTAAACGGCAGAAGAAAACCGCTGGTGCTAGTGCTAGTGCTAGTGCTGGTGATTTTGGGGACATTATCAGGCCATACCTACAATCTAAGGAAAACATCATCGTTGTATTTGAGAAAATGGAACCTATATGTGTGTCCTTGTTTGAAAAATACATCCAACAGGACACCCTGTGAATGTGAAGTACTACCAAGCTGGCAGAAGTGACTCGTGGTGAATCATGGTTCTGCCATTGTGTACCATCCAATGATTCCTTTGAACCCTCTGACAAATGAAGCAGATTTTAGTACCATGTCATGACAAGTGCCTTCATTTCAGTGCCCATGTCAAGAATTATATGTAATTGACAGGAAGATATCAACAGACAAAATGTTTTCTACTTTGTTGCAGACATTTTTGTTCTGAAAAAACATCAATAGATATGCTATTTTGAAGTTAGTATGGCAGCCATCTTGGATTTTGTCAGTTTTATCTGTAATTTTAATCCCAAAGAAAATTCCTAGTTCCGGAAAATATTTTGTAAATTGTATGAAAATTTAAAATAATACTTCTATAGTAAAATTATGAAAAGAAATGTGCAGTGTATAAGGGAATAGTTCCTCAAGAAAATCTTCTCACAAAAATAGACTTTAATAGGTAGTTTCATTATCTGGTTCAATCTTATAATACAGCATGCTAATTGAGTAACCAAATACAATTATCTAAATGATGAATTAAATATATACATATTTTTAGAAACTTTTAACAATTTTCTCTCATTTTAAATGCTTTTGCCTCAAAATGACAATTTCCCCAGGGTTGATTTGGGTTGGGTTTTATGGTGAATACACATTACTGTTGGAGCCGTTTGAACATAAAACTTGCTTGTTATCGCAAATGTCCGGGTTCTTCGACAATTCTACTGGCCTAAACGCCAAAATTCCGTGATGCCTCTGACACCGTTGAGGCATTAGCCTTTACAGCCTGTACCGCCGAAATAAGCTTGTTTGGCGAATTGAGTTTCCTCTTTTTCACGGTCAGCATCTAAAATTTGAACAAAATGTACTTTGTCTAATATTCGTTATTATGTATTTTAAAAATTCCTTACCTTTTAAATACCATTAATCCGATATTCCTTTATAATTTGTTTCAAATTAGTTTAAGGCTTAAATATTTTACACTCATTATTTGTTACTTGTTAGGATGTAAAGTTAAGTTCAGTCTCAGATGGATATTTTATGTGCTCTTCTTTGAGTTTCTACAATGTCACTATATAGGGAACATTCCTCAGTTATCTCCCTTTACTGCTTCGCCAATAGATGGCGCCAATCACTACGGTCCTAAGTGTACTTCCGGCATAATGATGGCGTTCAAAGTTTGTTGCACGGTCGATTTCAAATGCGCAGCAATATAACGATGCCTGACACGTGACACAGAGGTTCGACGTGTCCGAGAGGTCAAAACTTGCTGAAATGGTGGTTGACTATCATACGAAGTAGCGACGAATGAAACAAAAGCATGACGAGGTAGCCGTCAGCTCTCGCTGGTCTCACTCTCAGTGTTGTGTGCCATTTCCACTTCTGACAGAGCGATTTCGTTACTGTATCTAATTATGGTAAGTACCACGTATTTTGTATCTTTTACAGTTTGAAGAAAACGTTGTTATTGTTATTCCCCTTGCCAAATTTAGTTAACGTGCATGCCAACCGAAATTACGAGCAGGGGATTTGAATCGATTCAGGGAAAAAGAATGTGTTGCTTCAAGAGGGACACATGCTGTACAAAACTTTTCACGCGAAACATTAGGGGCCTCTCACTGTAGTAATCATCAAAACTTACAGTACACAATCTTTCCGCTTTACAAAGGGTGGGTAAGAGTTCCTTACGTACCCCCACCTAATCTTTAACTATAAATTATACACTAAACTATAGTGTTTGCTCATCACAAAAATAGGCGGGGGTACTAAGGAACTCTTTCCAATTATATCTTAGCAAAGCATTCATCACTTGATATGGCCTGTTGATTTTACCTGCTTGTCTTCTCTCATACAGCACCTGGTCATGCATCTTAAATACAGTTGTCAGTTTGACACTTGAGTTATATTGTGTAATCTACTAAAATTCTACTGTATGTGATATTTTCACATATGCTTATATCTCCTGATGACAGGTAGGTTGAGTAGGCAAGTAAATTGGAACAGACCCCAATTTATTATTTTCAATGTTTTAA